ATCTCTTGGATCATTTTTGCGGCCTTCCTCTGGATATGCTTCAACAGGTCTATGTTTCTCCTGTACTGAGGACTCCACATCTGTACAGTATGTATCTCTGCAGTACAGGTGAGGTCTCACCAGTGCAGAGCAGAGGGACAGGATTCTTTCCCTTGATCTGCTGGCCATGCTGTTTTTGATGCAGTCCAGGATACAGTCAGCTCTCCGGGCTGTGTGGGAACATTGCTGGTTTATATCTAGATGCCACCCACCAGTACTCCCAAGTCCTTTTCAGAAGGACTGTGCTCTATCCTTTCATCCCACAGCTTGTATTGGTTGTGGGAGTTACCTCAAACCAGGTGCAAGACCTTGCACTTAGGTTGCTGAACCTCATGAGGTTCTCCTGAGCCAACTGCTCAAAGCTTGTCTAGGTCCCCCTGAACAGCATCTTGTCCCTCAGTCATGTCGACTGCACCACCCAGCTTGGTGTCTTCTGCAAACTTGCACTTGATCCTGCTGTGGAGCATCGGTTCCAGCACTGACCCCTGAGGGACACCACTCATCATGGACCTCCATCTGGACATTGAGCCATTGACCACCACTCTGGGTACGATTTTGCAGCCAGTTTGTTGTTCATTTAACAGTCCACACATCAAATCCAAATCTTTCCAATTTGGAGAAGAGGATGTTGTGGGGTACTGTGTTAAAGGCCTTAGTGAAATCTGGATAGATGACATCAGTGGCTTTCCCCTCATCTACTGATGCAGTTATGCCACCATAGAAGGCTGCTAGGTCAGGGAATTTCTAGAGTCTACTCACAGACATTAAGTCAGTTTCCCTAGATGATTCCCTGAATTGAGTACAAAGAAAGTCATCTGAGTTACCACAGGCTCTCTTTCTTGGCAGAACAAAGTTGCAGTGGAAAATAATGCCTAAAGCAGTGGTAGTTCTGCATATCCTCAAAATTATCCCCAAAATTTGAACTGTAAAAATTATAATTTTAGATCACAGTTATCTTGTCTCCAGAAAGGCACAAAAGGAATCACAAATAATCAAAGCATATTTCTTCTGTGTTATTTGCAGTGAAGACAGCCAGAAAAAGTCAGCACACAGAATTAATCTGAGGGAAGTAAAGATTTGGCCATGAATAGAAAGAGTAGGATAAAGGATAGAAGTGAGTCAGAGATGACCCTAAGATTTCAAGCACTGTTTATAATTCTTATAAATTCCTCACAAATAGCAAGATTTTTCTTGGTCTCGTGGTGTTCCTGTGAAACTTCAGCTCACTCAGGAATTTGTCTGTTTAGTAAAAGTTCCCTTTCCAAGCAGCTGCCCACCTCTTGAAATGAGAGAGAAGTCTGTGCATGGCAGGAGAAGCAGAAACAGAGCATAAATGATGTTTAGAACAGAAGTTAATTGTTCATTTTGGAGACAGGGCAGCAGATGTGACTGCTGACAAGCAAGAGCTCTGGAAGCTTCAGGGGATCATAGTAACACAGTGTGCTAGATAGGGAAGAGCCTGCTAGTTAATGCGGCACCTCACACATGCTGGGGAAAGACATGATTCACGAGAGACACAGACACACTTCTCTTAGAAATCTCACTATTCATGACTATTCAAAGACTCACAATTCATGACTAAAAACAAAAATGCTGGATTTAAACAATGAGGAAAAAAGTGATTGTTGATGGTTCTAGAGAAGTTGTTAAGAGACAGTGTGATCTTTAGCTTACACCTAGTAAGCCACCTGGGGAGTAGGCTAGAGATAAAATAAGAAGAGATTGGTTAGAGTTGGACAATATACATAAAAATGATCTGTGTAGGAATTAAACCCTTTTAACTGTTCGTAGGAGATCAGCCACATCCATTGTTTGTAAGACCAAATGTTGTTAAACCTGCCCAAATATTAATGCACACAAAAAGGATAGTAATAGAAACACACAGACAAAACCACTGTGCTGCAAAGGAGGCTATAAGACTGCTCAATCATGGTTATAGAGTTTTTGCAGGATCTCTACTGTACCCAGATAAATAGAAAAGAAATTACCGAAGTGGTGGATTAATACAAGAAACAGCAAGACGACCAGGAGAAGGTGGATTTGCAAAAGCTGTAGATAACATGATGTGAAGGTTTTTTAGGTCACTTCTGAACATCTGACATCCCCTATCTGTTGTTAAAAAGGTGTTTGACTCGATTTCCAATAGCCTGCAGTGAAAGGGATTACACTGCACAGGAGGTAAGATTTCTGCCTAGTAGTGACAGTTTTTGTTTGTTTCCAAATCCTTGAGCTGAAGAGCAACCAGAGAACTCTGCTGGCACCATGCAGGTTTCCATGGCCTCTGAATGGAGTGGGGAGATAATGTTTATCATGGGAGGCTAAAATCAATCTCCTTCTTCATGTAACCTCCTGTACAACCTCCTAGACAACCTACGTACTGCACAAGCTGCCCAGTGAGGCTGTGGAGTCTCTATGGGGATCTCCAAAAGCCACTTAAATGTGAGGCTGGGCAGCCTGCTCTGAGTGGCCCTGAAGGAACGGGGGGGTGCGACAAGGTGATCTCCAGAGGTCCCTGCCAAGCTCAACCATCCTATGCAGTGATGTATGGGTGTCTGACAGTATTTAAGCAGCACAAAAAGTCAAGAAACAGCTAAGATCTTGAAGTCCAGTGAAGTATAACAACTTGCTGGAGGTTTTATGCAGTCTTAGCAACGAAGTAAAAGACAGACTGGAAATAATCAAAAATTGGAAGAAGAGCTTTAAACAATGGCTGAAAGCTTTCAACGCAAAGGTAATGTAGATGAAGAGAAGAATGAAAGCAGAGCAGCAATTTGTGTTGTGTGTGGAGTGATCACAGCACACTTGTGCTGACAGAGGAAGGAGCCAGTGAGCAGGAGGAGGTTAAGGGTGAGATGAGTAGTGAAAGGGACTGGGCAGTTTAAGCTGGAAGGAACTGGGAGTTTTGATTGGTTTGGAGAGTATAAAAGGCATCAACTTTTTATTCCAGTTCTAAAATCAAAAGAAAGGAGATGGAGAAGAGAAGATGGGAGGATGTGGCAAGTAATTGCCCTTTGTTTTCCCAGTGTGTTTGCAAGGTCTGGTGAGGAGAGACCATGATGAGGAAAGGGATAGCAGTGAGGAGCTGACATCCTCTGCAAAGGTGCTTGGCCTGGAATGTGGCAGGAATGTGACTGCAACTTGTAAGGCATACCGTTCTTTCAGTACTTTTTTTCCTCCATGGATTTTGGCATATTTTATTTGCAGAAGATCTGTTTTTCAAAACATCATTTGATCAACTCCTTGCTTTCCAGCAAGCACGCTAGCATTTTTAAGATTTATTTAAATTAATTTTATCTGAATACTCTGGCTTCAGTGCACTCTGTATCTGGGATAGCTTCCCAGGCAATTAAACTCGAGCAATTAAGCTGGTAAACAAGCGTGCGTTATGCTGTCTAATTCACGCTGTGCGCTTCTGAGGACGAGGCCCACGCCGCTGCGGGACGCATGGGACGTTGGAGCCGGGCAGCCAGGCCTTGCACAATCCCGGCGCTGTTTCTCACCGGCTGCCGTATGGCAATACCTGGGCCACGGCTGACAAACTCTGTCAGCAAAGCGGAGCCGGAACGCTTGCATAACCACAGCACTGGTTTCAACAGCCAGCCAGGGAACGCGCTGCCGCTTGAACTCCCGCAGCCCGGCCAGCGTCGGCAGGCAGGAGCAAGCAGCACCAAGGACACTGCCTCAGCCTCCTCCCAGCCAGGCAGGGAGAGCAAGGGAAGGCTAAAGCTCGCAGCCCGGCTGCCGGGCGGCACGTGGGCCGAGGCTGCGGGCTTCGGGGAGCCGGGGAGAGCCCTCCCAGCTCCGGGTGCTCTCAGCCAGGCTCTCCCGCAGGCACCGCCGCGCGCGGCCGTGTTTACAGAGGGCGACTCCCCGTCTCCCAGGCTGAGTGCGGAGGCAAAATTTATTGCCGTTATTCCGGGGGAAGAGCTCTGCTCTTGTGAGAGGAAACGGAGTAAGAAAACAGGAGGGCGAAGCAGCGGCGGGTCACAAAGGCACGAAGGGGCTCTTTCAGCGGTTCCGTTTGTCGGCAGCGTGGCAGCACCTTGTGCTTTTTGCGATGTTGCTCCTTTTCTTCAACATCACTGCTTAGTTTCACGTGTCAGCGCCATAACTCGCGGCCTTATCCCCTCACGGGGCGCTGACGGCATCCCGGGGAGCCGCAGCGTTGCCCGGAGCGCCCCGCGGTCCCTGCGCTCGGTGCAGCCGCGCTCCCACCTCTCCCCCCAGCCGGCCGCTGCCCGGGGCCGGCTCCCAGCCCACTTCAGGAGGCAGCACGCTTTGCGGCTTTTCAGCCTCGGGGCGGCAGAAGTCGGAGGGCCTCGCGTTCCCGCCGTGCCACGGCGCTGCCCGGCCCGGCTCAAACCCACGCTGCCTGCGGCGCTCCGCCGCCGTCCCCTCGCCTGACCTTCCCAACATGGCGGCGCGGCCGCCCCCTCCTCCCTCCGCGCGGCCGCCGCAAGGGGCCTCCTCGGCGCGGGGCGGCGGCACTGTCAGGCTGCGGGGCGGGCCCAGCCCGGCAGCGCGGCGGCGGCAGCGGGAGGAGCGGGGCTGGGTTGGGCTAGGCGGGGAGGGGAGGGGAGGCCCGGCCGGGCGCCGCGCACACTGACAGGCGTTCGGCTAGCAGACGGGCGAGGAGGCGGCGGGGCCGGCCGGGAGTCTGCGGCGGCTCGCTGGGGAGACGCGGGACTGAGCGGCGCTGCAGAGAGCCGGTCGCCCTCACACCTGTGCCGTCCGGAGGAGCCGCGCGGCGAGTGGGTGTCGCCGCCGCCGATCACCTGGGATCCCCGCCCCGCGCCGCCTCCGCCTCCCTCCGTCCTCGCCGGGCCAGGAGAGGCGCCGCGGCTGCGAGCGTGCTGCTGCTGCGGGCGGCAGGGCCGGGGCCCGCGGGCGAGGCAGGAGCTGCGGCGCCGCTGGGACTCGCCTCCTCCCGGCAGCCGGGGCGAGGCGGGCGGCGAGGCGGCCCCCGGCCGGCGGCGGCGGCGGTGCGGGGCGCTGGAGCCGCGGCAGGATGAACCCCAATGTCACCTACGCCAGTCGCAAGCGGCGGAAACCTGTGCAGAAAATGTAAGCGGCTCTCCGCGGGGTGGGGAGGGAAGAAGACCGAGCTGGGGACCGGGGCGGTTTCCCTTCTCCGTCCGTCCCGCCGGGCACCGCGGCGTGGGGCTGCCCCGGCGCCGGTTCCCCCCGCCCTTCCCGGCGCCGGCTCGGCCGCGGAGTGCCCGTGCGGCTCCCGGCTGCGGGGCACGGCGGTGCGGGGTGGGCTGCGGGGCCGCCTCTCTCTGGCGCCCTGGGGCTTCCCCGGGGCTTATTTTGTTTTTCTTGGATTTCTTGCGAAAATAAAGCTAAATCGCGGTCCTCTCGCGGCTGGCGGGCGGAGCGCGGAGGTGGGAGCAGGGAGCGGCGGCTTGAGGCGGCTGACCTAGATCGGGAGGCACCTGAGGTGACAGCTCCCGGCGCGGGCGGCGCGGCCCCGCTCAGGTGGCGGCGTGTCGGGGGGGGGTCGGTCCGGTCCTCAGCACGGGGCTGCGCTCGGTGCGCCGGGCCGGCTGCAGCCCCCGCTGCTACATCAGGTGGTGGCGGTTGTTCCACTGCGGGTGCTGCGGATCGCTCCGACGAGGCCGAAAAACAAGTGTCTGTCGTGGCGTTTTCAGACTTGGGCTGCAGCTTGGTGCCCGAGTGCTTTCGCGATTTGCACCTGCGGTAGGTTTGAGCCTGGGCTTTGCGGGCTGCTCATCTCATGCGAGTGATTTTCAGGACAGCGAAGTTTAATCCTCACTTTCGACTAGAAGTCAGTATCAGTTGCAAGCAGTAGAGGAGCTGAACTTCAGAGCTGCTAGCAAAATTACCTGTGATGCAAAGCTCAAAAAATCCCGCTGTATTACCAAGTACTCTTGTAGTGGTACAATAATCACCTGAACTCCAAAAGCATTAAAGGGAATGACGAATGTTTAATAAAATCCCAATGTAAGTGTATGTTCTCAGATCGATAGCAGACGACTGTGCTGGTGGGAGTGAAGGCAGCCTGGGTGCTCACTTCTGTACAGTTGGAGCTATGAGAATGAGTACATGCACACAACCAGTCTACAAATTAATGCAAAATTCTAAACATACCCTTTTTTAAAAAAGTTCTGGCTAGAAGATGGAGTCATTATGAGAAGAGCGGTATTTGCTTTTTTTTGATTACTCATTTCCAAACAATAATGTAGAAGCAGTGAATCAGTCTTCTCTACAGGTCTGGATTTTAACAATGAAATTAGTGTTGTCTTTTTGTGAAGTAGAAATGCATTGGTTGTATTTGTCAACTGTTGGTTGCTGAGGGCAAATAATTCTTGTAATTGCATAAGGGTGAGCTGTTCTGCCTTTTTGGTCCCATCGCTTAATGGCTGGCTATTACATTCTTGGTCTTGATTAGAGGATGTGAAACTTTCCTTTTTGTGTTGTATCTATGTCACTAATCTCTTTCCGTAATCTATTTTCTTATATTTGGTGGCCACGCTTGTCATATTAGTTGAACTTGGAGCCTATTTTTGTTACTAATGGAAACTATATCTATTTGATACCAAAGAGACAGATAAATGTCTCCTCTTTGCATAGAACTATTTGCATTTGCTTGCTCACCTGTAATTATAAGAGGAGGCATGACTATTAGCCAGTCTTGATAGAGTTACCAGAAATTATTCTGAATTTATCTTGCATGTATTGCTTTTTCTTCTCCTAGTGGCTATGACTTGGTTGCTCATGCTATTAGACCAACCTTACAGAGCATTGCGGGTGGTGGGAAGGCTCTGATTTCTCACATAGCTAATTACAGAGCATTCACTGGGCTAAAAAGTAGGGAGAGAGGCCATAAGCTCCTGTAACTGACTGGGGGGAAGGAGGGGAGAACAGTTCCAGCACTGCTCCTTGCCCCACAGTTTGGCACTGCTGTGATTTGAGTCAGTTTGAAGTTGGTATTTTGTGCTCCATGTAGAATTCAGAGCTCTTCAAAGAGAGTTTTAAAATGAAAGAAGTGATGCATTGTAGGGAGTAGCGCATTTTGTGAAGAGGCTGCTTTTTTTGATGTTTCATTTGTCGTAGATGTAGCTGTGAAGGGAGCCTGGTCATTGTTAGTCTGTAGCAGTGGGCAGCTAGCATGCAGCAGTGCTCATGTAATGCCGTACTGCTCATGGGTTAAAACAAATGAAGAACTACTTCCTGCTTCAGGTGCAAATAACTTTAAGTCATGGCAGTAACTCAGAGCCAATATAGGAAGCTTCCCCCTGCAGCCACCCTATCTTTATGAGCCGTGCAAAGGACTGGACTTGACAGGGAATTGCCCGACAGAAACGTGTTTTTTTGATCCAGTAGGGAGTCACCATATCACAGCTGAAAAGAAAACGCAATAATGGGAAAACTTAAGCGGCAACCGTTCCTGCATTTCATCTTGTTATCTTGTCATCTGGAGGGGAAATAAAACAACAGCCTAATACACAATGTGCATTCCAGTGAAATATAGCTTTCTTAGAACCTCGGAGCCTTCCGCAGATTTCTTCCCACGGGTGGTGGAGCTGTGCGGGTCCCCCTGGTGGCCGCTCTGCATGGCCCCGCTTTGAGTTTTTCTTCGACTGTTCTATTTCTATTTTGTTTTTAAGGTTTTGTATGCCTTTTCTCTACTGGTTATTAACTGAGCTGCTGATTTTGCATTCTAGTAAGATAAAATGCATTGTTTTATTGAAGTGAGGTTTACTGGAAATAGATCCTAACATTAAGTGAAGGATGTTATGTAAGTGTTGTTTCACCTTGCTGTCTTTAGATTCCTATGCTTTTCTGCCTGCTACTTGGTCCTGCTGTGATTTGCTTTGCTGTACTCTTTTTCAGTGTTTGGGTAGGAATTGTTTTGCATAATGGAATGAATGTAATAGACAAGGAATGGGGTGGAGGGATTTAAATGTTTCGTACTGTGCAGACACACAAAGCATAACAGCATGTTTCTTGAAAAAGCAAACTAAATAAGAAATGATACACTTTTGTTCCATGTTAGCATGAATGTATTCATGATGCTAAATATTCCAGAGAAAAACATTTGGCTGGTTGACTCTTAACTAAGGGTACATATTAAGGCATAGTGATTTCAGAAAGCAGTGCAAATATACTTTTAACTTAAAAAAAAACAACAACAACAAAAAAAAAAAAAAAAAAAACCCCAAAAAAACAACAACACCAAAGCAACAACAACAACAAACCCCACAACTATTTATTTATCCCTTCAAGACAAACAAACAAGAAGTGCCAGTTCATCAGTAAAGAAAAAAAATCATTAAAAGCTTGCTTTGTTTAAAGCGCTATCATACACAGAGCAGCTTGCACCTTGTGTTTGAAATGGAAGCACTACAAAACTTTTGGCATAGGTAGAATAAACTGATTAGATTAGGTGATAACTGGGACACTTGTTGGTGTACCTGTATGCTACGTGTGCACTGTGAACTGCTACCCAAGATTCATTGCCTTTAGAGTTTCATATTGTTTGGGTGATGGTTTTGTTTTTTTTTTTCTGTGGGGTTTTTTTGTTGTTGTTTTGTTTAGGGTTTTTTTGGTAGTAATTCTTGCAAAAGTATTCAGTTTGCAAGGAATAGCTGCAGTAACTGAAGATAATTAAATGTAGATGCTATGGTCAGCAGCTAGGAACATGCTTTTTTCTTTTTCTGGATAGTCCTGGCTTGAGATCTTAGACAGTATTGAAGGGTGTTAAAACTGAGTGTAAAGATTTTGTTCTTGCCTTGTGCTCTGGTTGTCCCCATCACTCTGTCAGAGTCATTTGGACACTAAGCCAACCTGAGCAACTGAGTGACAGACTACTTTTGGAGAACAAACAGTTGCACAGCATCAGATGAGCAGCACGTGAGATTTTTACTGAAAACATTTTATCCCTTTGCTGCCTACAACTTCGTTGGTTTCATTGTCTGCTGAAGGAACCACTGGAGAGTGCCTCTTGCCCTTCCAAGATAGGTTGACAAAAGCTTTTGAGCAGAGGGATTGTTAGTCTGCATTGTATCTGTTTCTTCCAAAGGAATCAGCAGCTGAACGTTCCTAAATGGTGAATTCAGTGAGGCAGATAGGACTATTCATAGGAGTCTTTTTCAGTTGTTAAAGTAAATAGAGAATTTTGGAGGGTGTCACCTATGTAGCACTTCCTCAGTAGTAACTGATGAGTTTCATATACCTGACCTATGTTTAATTGAATAGACATAAGAATAACATGTTAACACATGCTGTATTGAAGATGAAATGAAAAATACACACAGCTGAAAAAGATTAAATCTGTCAGTGAGGTGACACGTATGTTCTTCCTTTTGCCCTTTTTTTTCTGAGCAATAAAGTCATTCTGATGAACTCCTAGTATTTTTCTAACATAGAGCTTTTCTTATATGTTACGAACAAAATAAATCTGTGCTGTGTTTCATTTGCTCTAGGAACTGCTTCAATTTTCCTTTAAAATACAAATTAGTCTATAAGTACTGAAACTTATTTTGGCCTTTTTAATACTGAGATCCAGATCTTGTGCACTTGTAGTGTTATTAATATCAGTGAAGGCATGCATGGTAAGCATGTGCAATTGAAATTTCTGTTGTCTGTAGTAGACCTCTGTAAATAGTAGTCAGTTAATGTTGTGGTAGCACATCTTTTACAATGGTAAAACTAGAATTAGCAGTCCTTGCTTGTTTTGCAGCTGTTGGATGATAAGGACTGTAGTTTACTTGAGAGATACTGAATCTCTGGCTTTTGATTGATTAAAGAGTTTGAATTTTCTGTAAGTAAGGTAAAAGATGGTGCCCAGGAGGTCAGCTTAAAACCTATTTTCTTCTTTAGTGTTTTTCTTTTTCTTTTTTTTTCCTTTTTCCCTTTTTTAATAATAAAAATAATCTTGACATAGCATTTAATTGTACTTGAAGCTAATTTTCTGCAACGCAGCTAGGGCAGCCCTGAGCATCAACAGTTTATGTAAGAGAATGGAAAATGGTTCAAGTTACTAGTTATTTCCCCTTCATTTCCGTCCTTATTTCTTTTGTCGCTGACAGTTCCATTTAAATCACAGATTTTTGTTGGGTCATAGTAGATAAAATTAGATAAAATCATGGTATGCTGAAAATGCTGCCAACTTAATGTTTAGTAATATTCTATGCTGCATTTGGGAATCCTTATGCATTGGGCTACTTGGAAGTAAAAACTTACATGAAAGTAATGCAAAAACAATTACATCTAATGAGTAATTTGTCAAGGTAATTGCCCAGTTCCATATAGTTTCAACATAACTTGTCAAATTGCTAATAGAAATTTTAAGCAAAGGGGAGGGCAGTTGTGAAAACAGAAGTCTGGTTTTCAGTGCTGCTCTAATTGGCATGTCATGAGCTGTTTTCACGGGGACCTCTGCTTTTTGGAAACATGCTTTGATTTGGTAATAGTGAGCTGTTCAGTGACAGTTATACAGCTTTTACTTGCTTAAAGTTTGGAATTTATTGTTTTTTGCCTGCGTTGAATATATATGTGTGTGTATATATTTATATGTATACACACATACGCAAAAGTATTTGAGGCAACTTTAAATGTTACTGGTGACATTTGATGATCTTGAGCTCTATTTATTTTGTTAGAGTTATATTTAAATTGTGTTAATCATATACAAATGACTGTCTTGCCTGCATAATATTTCAGAAATGATGCACCTTGCAGAGCCACCACCCCTGTGAAAGCAGCACAAATTGTAACAGATCTGTATGTGTGCATGGGAGGGATGGGTATTCTGGTATCTAGGAGCCCAGGAAAACAGCAAGTTAGCAACATTTACCACATAACTCATAGCAGAAAGCTTTTTGAATTGTAGTTTGTAACATACAAAGGCATGCCTTTGTCATGTCATACTCAAGTGAAACGTCATTAGCTAAGAGTTGGTTTATAGAATGAGTTCAGTGTTATTAGCAAGAAAGATTTTACATGCTGACTGAGCTGTATCTTTTCTTGTGAGTTCTGTGCAGTTGTTGTCTAGCAAGTTACTTAACCTTTTTTTATTTCTAATTTACAATAACCTGTTCCAAACCTTGATGATGAATTAGAGATATTTGTGAAAAAATGTAATTCAAGTAAAACAACCTGAGTGTGCTGTCGAATAATTTGTACACTAATAAGTTGAATTATTCATAATTCATAATAATGAAATAAATCAGAGCATTTAAATGTGTGTATAGGAAGGTTTTTACAAATGCTGTATCTGAGTTGGCAAATGTCTATTATGTGTTCAGATAGCCATGGTAAGTCTTACAGCTTTGTTAACAGTGAATGTGTTGGGGAGAAAAACGAAATGATCTGAGATAGAATTCTACTTTTTTCCATGAGGAACAGAAGTCACTTAGGAAAAACATTTTGCATGTTAAAGTTTAAAAGGTGGTAATGTTAGACAAATGTTTGCCTTCATTTTGGGAAGGAACTTTTGTTTATTTTTTTTTGTTTTTTTTTTTTGCCACAGAGTAAAGCCATCTCCAGCTGAAGGAGTTAAATCCAATCCCTCCAAGAGGCACAGGGACCGTTTGAATGCGGAGTTGGATCGCTTGGCAAGCCTTCTGCCCTTCCCTCAAGATGTTATCGCCAAATTGGATAAGTTGTCTGTGCTTAGGCTCAGCGTCAGTTACCTGCGAGCCAAGAGTTTTTTTGATGGTAAGAGTTGGGAATTTATTTGGTTTAGGACTGCCTGCACAATGCTGCTTGTACTGCAGGTTGTGTTCGCTATTGAAGTACTTAAAATCATTAATATTTTCTGTATTTTAGTGGAGCATACAATTGTATGGATACATACAGTATAACTGTATATATCAATTGAATGAAGTAGGTTTTCCACTTTCTTGAAAACCAGATGTAAATACTTACATTTCATCAGTCTTTCAATGGACTTTCAATGGAGGCAGTGTAACCCTTAAAGAGTCTTCCAGTCATTTTTCTTAAACTTTGAAAAAATGAGAAGCTGAGATTTATCATTTACCCCTCTGAAAATAGCCCTTATAAAGCCATTACAGTTGAGTAAATATCATGAGTTCCAATGAGCTGCATGTTTTGCTTAATGATGCATCAAAAAGATTTCATATATGCAATAACAACTAATCCTCTTTCCATAGTTTATTCTGAAGGTGACTTCTAAAGAAAGTGGCGAAGTCTTTCCTGTGTTCAAGCTGTGATTAAAGCAGAGCATGAGGCATTAAGACGACACCTAAGGTTCTCCAGTTGTGTGGGCAGTGTCTACGGACCAGCCCTGGATAGGGTAGTGCAGCAGTGCCCAGGGCAGTAATCAGGCCATGTGCATGTTCTCCTGTACTGCCTCAGAGGCTGCAGATGAGTGCTACCCCTCTCTATCATTCTCTGAGTTCTTCTGTAGGGTGAAAAGGGGAGGTTGGCTGCACTGGGTGCATGCTGGTTTCTTCAAAGGCAGGATTAGTTTAGTCATTTTCTTTGCTGGAATAAAGCAGGGAGCTGGTATTTAAATAAAATTTTCCTTTTTGTAATCAGAAGTTTTATGATACTGTATTGAAGATGGAGCTACACTGATAGCTGCAAATACTAAGGATACTCTGTCCTTATCGGTTGAGGATTTGGTGTTTCACTGTCTTGGTAGTGATTCCGTACCATGCATAAGAGGACTGAAGAAAGCTAGCTTGCCTACCATAGTTTCACTTTTTACTGCAGGACTACAAAATTGTTTTTCTCGTTTATTCTGACTAGTGGCTTCAGTTTGGTAATGCTTGTAAATTGATATCCAGTATTCTATTGCTTGACAAGTACGTGCAAGTGTCTTGATTCCTGGGCACATTCAGGATGGTTCTTAGTATGGGATCTCCTGAAGGCTTGAGTTTGTCAAATATTTTATTATAGCAAATGTTCTTATTTAAAAAAATATATATATATTTTGCTGGAAATAAGTTTTCTGTTAGCACATCAGTTTCATCAAAGTCTTGGTAAGGTGTTATTTCATGTTGATTGCAATGGAACAAATTATTCATCTTGTTGGTGTTCTTTTTCTGAAATGAAAAGGAAGCTTCAATCTTAATAATGCACTTGAATTTTTCTTAAAGAAAAGTTGTGTATTCTGAAATGAATAGAAGATTGTAGGCTTTTGCCTCACTTGGGCTGGATTGATAATCTCACTTTCTCATGCTATGGAAATGCTTGATTTTTGTTTTGTTAATTTGCACTTGAAGGTCCTGGAATAAAGGGGCTAATACTATAATTTCTGTCTAGGAAAATAATAATTGCATTAATAGTTTAGTGCTGTAAAGAAACATGCAAAAACCTGTAATCTCATCACACCAAACTTTATATCCGTTGCTTGTTTCTAATTTGAATGTTAAGTCAGCTTTCAGATGTTTAGAACAGTGATGAATTAGATGTGTGTTAGTGGCAGATAAATTGTATATGCATCTCAATTGTATAAAATGTATATGAATGTAGTTTTAACTACTGTGGATGCAAAGTTGAAGCAAACTAAAAGTGTTGCAGCTCTTAACAGACTGATCAGATGGAGACACTTCATACAGACACATGCAGCTGCTACGAATATACTGTACCATAGCTGTGCCGTGCAGGTTACTTGTGCCATAATGAATCAAACAGCAGAATTTTTACTTTCTCTGTAGAAAGCATGAAATGAGTGTATATACTAGGTGCATTGCAGCACCTAGCATAAAATAAAAAAAACTTTGCTAAGTCTGAAAAAAAAAATTATGTTGATTATCTTGTTATGTAGTTCAAAATGTCTGATGCGTGAAGTAAATTTATTTTATACCGTCAGATATAATAGCTTCTTGTCCTTTTTTTTTTTTTCTTGGAAAAAAACTTCTTGCTATTTCTTTACAGATAAGATTACAAATTAAATCATTAATCAATATCAATCTGTAAATGTTTAAAGGCTAACATTGATTAAAGATAAACATCAGGAAGCAATCTGAAACAATGACTAATTCACTATTGCAAATAGGAGGAAAATCTTTTTTCCTATTTTAAAGTAGTTAAGTAGCACAAAATCTATTTCAGTTGAAACTGACCTTCCAGAAGAGAAAGAAGTATTTTAAAGTATGTAAGTAACAACAACAATAAAAAATCCATCCACTTCCCTAGGATAATTGTTTTAATGATCTACCTGTACAGTGCTTCTCACAGAACTGATTTTTGAAGGATTATTTTGTGCTGTTAAAAAAATAAGTGAGGAGAGCCCTATAGGATAGCTGATGAATGCATGAGTGAGCGTTGATTGTCACCTTGAGTGCCCGATCTGAGCCAGCAGGTCTCCGTTATTAACATAGCATGCTGAAGTGAGGGGAAACGCTAAATGAATAACAGGATGCAAAGGGGGGTGTGTAAATTCCTGCGGAAAGTAAAATATAAATGCATAATCATATGATCTTGCTTGAAAGGAAACCCAGGTTTTTGCTGTAACAATAGATATTTTTTCAAAGAAAACACTTGCGTTTTTCCAAGTTTAAATAATCCGGAGTGGATGTCTGTTTTGATAAGTGGAAGTTTGGGAGGAGATGAAAAAAGGAATTGTTTTATGAAAGACATCTCAAGAAGTTGTGTCAATTTGAATAAACGTGCTTCACTTAGATGTCTACAAAATCCTTAGTTCCTACTTTAAAAGCTAAGTGTAAAAGACAAAAAGTCTTTCCTTCCCAGGTCTTTAAGACAGTTCAGAATAATCTCTGAAGTTAAAGCCAGATGAGTTTTTCTGTGGTGTCAAGATTGAAATGCAGTAAGCTTCAGTGCTCTTAACGTATTCCAGATTCTAAGAAACTGATGTACATTTTTTTTTTTCCATAACCTTTAAACATCTTCTGTTAGTAACTGATGATATTCTGCTAAGCAGTTGCCCTTGGTTGTTGTAGTTTGTTGTTCAGTTATTCAATGGCTGCTGTTAAGCCATCCTTATATATGCTGCCCGTCAGCAACACTAGTTCAGTGATGCAGAAGCTGTTTGTGTGGTTGGGTCACTCTCAAGTTAACGTAGTGGTAGATGACTTTCCCTGCCCATGTCAGGCACTCTGACTGTATGCTGGAATTTGAACATTAAGTTCTGTAGTCAAGAAAGAGGTTTTGGTAGGTGCTGAAAGTAATATTAGAACGACTTGGGTTGGAAGGTAACGTAGTCCCAAGCACCCTGACATGGGCAGGGCTGCCAGCCATGAGATCAAAACACCCAGGACACCATCCAGTCTGGCCTAGGACACCTCCAGGGATGGGGCATCCACACCTTCTCTGGGCAGCCCAGGGCCTCCCCACTCTCTCTGAGCACAGAATTGTCTGGCCTAACTCTTCTCTCTTCTAGTTTGAAATTGTTTCCCCTTGTCCTGTTCTATCAGGCAGTGTAAAAAGTCAGTCCTCTCCTTCTTACAAGCTCCCTTCAAATACTGGAATGCCATAATGAGGTCTCTCCAGAGCCTTCTCCAGGCTGAACAAGCCTAGCTCCCTCATCCTTTCTTCATAGGAGAGGTGCTCCAGCCCTCTGGTCATCTTTGCAGCCTTCCTCTGGACCCTCACCAACAGCTCTAGATATCTTTCTTGGGCTGTGAGTCCCAGCCCTGTACACAATACTCCAGGTGGAGCCTCATAAGTGTAGAGAAGAGGGGAACAATCACCTCCCTCTCCATGGTGGCCACTGTTCTTTTGATGCAGCCCAGGATACTGTTGGCCTTCTGGGCTGCAAGAGCACACTGCTGGCCCATGTCCACCTTTTCATTCGCAAGGACATCCAAATCCTTCTCCGCAGAGCTGTTTTCAATGAGTTCTTTTCCCAGTCTGAACATACACAAAATAATGACTCTCAAGTCTGCTTCATCGTGAAACTGAAGGTCTCATACAGTCAGTCAAAGCTAAGAAGTTATTTGGAACAGTGTTGCTTTTCAGCTGTGTGATGCTACCTGCATATACTAGGTAGATTAGCAGTCCTGAAAGTCAAGCAGGTTAGCTTAAATCACTGCTGGAGTATTTATTTTGTGTGTAAGATACTTTCTGAAAGTGGCTTAAGGCAAGCTTGTTATTTTTAAGAGACTGGGATAAATCAGGCAGGTGTTTGCTGACTGTCAGTAAAGAATGACTTTGTATTTGTCCTTGTATTACTTCAGTCTGTTTTGATGCTAAGTGCCAGTACGTTTGTGCATTCAGCAGTGAAGAATATATAGAAGTGAAAAATGGGAGAAGTGCAAGTTCAGCATCCAGGGCACAACTGGACAATCATTTAGCCTGTGTTCTTTGTGCCTGCTAAAATGAAAAAAAAAACGTTTTAGCTTTGGTCCTATAATGTTGTCAATTTGTCATATAATATCTTACTACAGCAAGAAAGAGCACTTAAAGTGAGTCCTCAGTAAGATATAAGAAATAATTAAGAATAAAAGTAGAGTTAGCATATTTGCTTTCTTTTATTTACATTTTGGGGAATGGATTTTTTTTTTAAGGTATACTGAGAATCAAGGAGAGAAACTGAATGAAGAAGCTGTGCTATGTATGTGTATCGATACATTCAAAACAAAATTTAACATGTTGCTTATTAATTATTCTTTCATCCATTTCAGTAAGAATTCCTGTGGTTTAAAGTATGTGGCTGTTTTCTCTTGCTTACTGGATAGTATTCTGCAATTACAGAAGAAAGTTTCTGTTCAAAATTAGTTCAGGATTGG